CCTGCCCACCTTCTTCAGTGTGGCCACCACGTCCGTGTTCCTCTGGAGGATCTGGGAGGTCACCTGCAGGGTGCCCAGCTCCTCCAGGGCGCTCAGACACCTCTTCACGTCCTGTGGGGAGGGCGGGGTGAGGAGCGCGGCCGGCCAGGGCTCGCCAAGGCCCCCAGGCGGCCCTCCCTGTGGGGAAGGTGAGCCTCGCACAAGGGACAGAGACCCTGGACACCCGCCGGACGGCTGGCTGCCCAGAGAGGAGGGACCTGGGCCCGCCGTGCCCCCCCCTGCCGCACCTGCTGAGTACTGCGCCGCTGGACCTCAGGCCTGGCCCTCAGGGAGCCCCCCACCCCCAGCCCCACCCCACCTGTTTTCATTTGCTACAGAAGCGTGTGCGCTTGTCAGAGACACAGAGACAGGGCGGAGAGAGGGGGAGACCGAGAAAACGCCCACGCCACCATCCCGCCTCCACTCGGGATTTGGGACACGCATTCGCGCACGCCTGGTGTTTTCCGAGCTGCCAGGACGAGGACTTGAGCCACACAGCTGGCCCCGTGGGATCCTGCCACCTTAACCTCCATGGCGCCTGGCTGGCCTGCCCCACCCACCGCGGGCCCCCAGACTAGGTGGGCCGACACGGGAGGTGGCTGTGCTGGGGCCGCCCACACCCAGGGCCTCACCGGGTTGTCGACCTTCAGGGCGAACTTGATCTCGCTGTGCAGCTTCTGCAGCTTCTCCTCCACGGACGGTTCTGGAGAGAGCAGCGCCCGGGCCTGAGCAGAGCCTGTCCCCGCTTGCCGCACGCCCCCGGGGCCCCAGCTGAGGACCCGCCTGAGCACCCGCGGGCGGGACCCCTCACCTTTCTTCTTCTCCACCTTCCTGTCCGGCAGGAACCCTTCGGACCGCTTCCGGGTCCGCTCCACCTTCCCGGGCCTGTGGAGAGGCGCCTCCCTCAGACGGGCCCCGCCACCCTGCACGTGGCCGCCTGCCCGACCACGGCCCGCTGCTCTCCCACTGGGGGTTGGCTGGGCCAGTGGAGCTGACTGTCAGCCCTGTGGCCATCTCGAGAGCCCTGGCCCCAGCTGGCCAGAGGTGGCAGCCTTTGCGTGTTTCCTTTCCACGCTAACCCCCAGCGCCCGGGGAACGTGCACCCGCCGGACGGGAGGGACGAGGCAGGCCGTGGGCGTCACGCTGCAATCCCTTCTCCATTCCCCACCCTGGATGGGGCACACGCGCAGTGCACCCGCGAGTCATCCAGGCCATGGGTGACTGGACCTTCAACCGGCCACGAGGGATCTGATGCCATTAACCGCCAGGCTACGTGGCCGGCACCTCGGGCTCTTCTAATGAGCCACGGGAACCCCCCAGCTCCTTTCTACTCGCCTGAAGAGCTGCACACAGAACGCCTAGCAAGCGAGTTGCTAAATGCCCTCAGAGGCCAGCCAGAGGTGTGGCTAATGTGCCAGACCCCACATGGCTGCCTGAGCAGTTCAAGTCCTGGACGGGGCGGCTTGAAAATCACACGGGGTGCGTGTGCATGCGTGCCCAAGATCCTGAGAGGAGAGTGAAGAAGGGGCTGGAGAGTGGCCATCCTCTGGGGGCAGGTGGGAGACTTCTCCCCTTCCCTCTCTCCGGGGCAAGCACATGTGCCCCACACCAAAAATGAAAACGTGGCAGGTCCTCAAGTCTGACACCCACAGACCCAGCCTCCACTGCACCCCACGACCATGTCCACCAGGGGATCTTGGCTCTCTGACGGCGGGAATCCCACTGGGAAGTGGGCCTGGAGATGGGCTGCCCCCTACTGTGTGGGCTCAGAATCGAAGCCGCAGAGCAGGGGTGGGCTTCCCACTCGGCACACAGACACGGGTCGGGGTGGTGGTTAGGGGTGCATGTGAGAAATGGGAGGCGGTCCCTGGCCCTATCCACTCTGTCTGGAGCATCCCGACCAAGCTGTGACAACCACGGGTGTCCCAAACATCGCCTATCCTGTAGGGGCAAATTCCCCCAGAGTGAGACCCCTGAGCCGGGGAAGGACAGTCGTGGCTCCTGACAGCCGGACAGGCCCCGAGAACCAGAAACTCCCCCTGGGCCCAGCTCGAGGGTGTGCACGGGAGCTGGGCTGTCCCGTGAGGGGTGGGGAAGGGCTGAGGGTCCTGGGAAGCTGAGCAGCACCGGGGCAGGGCAGCAGGCGCAGCCCGGGCTGGGGTGCAGACCTCGCTCGGGGCTTCTCCTCGGGCCGCCCCTTCTTCTCCTTCTGGCTGGGCTTCCTCACGGGCTCCGTGCTCTGCGGCTGCGGCTTCTTGGCTGATTTCTTCGCCTGTAGCGACCAGAGGGAAGGGGGTCAGAGACGTGCCCTCCGAACTGCCCGTGCAGAACTGAGCCTGGCATCTCAGATACTCCTCCCA